AACTTAGGCTAAATGCTGTTGCCCGTTTCTTTTGGGCTCCAAACCTGTACATTATTGTATTTAGTACTATAGGCAACAGTAACTCAATGATAAGTATTTGTGTATCTAAACACACCAAAAAATAGAAAAGCTACCGTAAGGATATAGTATAAAAGATCAGGGTAGGATGGCCTGTGATTGTAATCCCAGCTGCTTGTGAAGCTGAGGCAGGAGGATCACAGTTCAAGGTCAACCTGGGTAGTTTCTTGAGATCCTGTATCAAAGTAAAAAATAAAAAGGTCTAGGGGAGTAGCTCAATGGGTCGAGGGTCCCTGGCTTTGATCTCCAGTACTGCAAAAATAAAATAAAAGATATACCTGTGCAAGATAACTTCCTGCGTACAGAACTTGCTGGAGTACTGGTGGGAGTCTGCTAGGCGAGTTTGAGTGATCGATCAGTGACTGAATGTGAAGGCCTAGAACATTGCTGGACACTGCTGTTGACTTTATAAACACCTGGATTTACGTTATACTAAATTTATGAAATAATTTTATCAGCAAGAATAAATTAACCTTAGGTTAGTGTAACTTTGTCATCTAATAAACAATTTTTTCATTTTTTCACTGTTCTATAATAAACACATAGCTTAAAATATAAGATGTCTGTATAAAACATTTGTTTATATCTATTATATAAGCATTTATCCATTTTAATGTTTACTGTTTACTTTTTAATGTATTTTGTTAAAGACTAAGAAACAAACACATTAGTATAGGCTCGCACAGCTCCAGAATCACCAATGTCAGTGTCTCCACCTCCTCATCTGGCCCAGTGGACGTTCTTCAAGAGCAACAACATTTGGAACTGTCATTTCCTATCATGACAGTGCTTTCTGCTGGAACCCTTTTTGTTGGTTGTTGGTACTGGGGATTGAACCCAGAGGTGCTCTACCACTGAGCTATATCCCCAACTCCCCACTCCCCTCTTTTTTTTTTTAAATTTTTTTAGTGGTAGATGGACACAATGCCTTTATTTTATTTGTTTATTTTTAGGTGGTGCTGAAGATCAAACCTAACGCCTCATACATGCTAGGCAAGCACTCTGCCACTGAGCTACAGCCCCAGCCCTTTTTATTTTTTACTTTGAGATAGAATTCTCTAAGTTGCCCAGGCTGACCACTAACTTGTGATCCTCCTGCCTCAGCCTCTCAGGTTGCAGGGGTTACAGGCATGTGCCATCATCCCCACTGAAATCTTTTTTGAAGGACGTGCATGTCTGAGGCTCCTCTTGGGAAATGTCACTAATGTGTACATGATGGTTTTCTTGGTTTCCTTTTTATCATAGACTTGCTTGTAAGCAGATAATATACCATGAATATTCCTCTCTGTTGATGAAAACTTTT